GGCTCACAGGGCTCATGGTGTGTGCTCTGGAAACATTCCTTTATACCCCTTAAAATGCACATAAGAAAGCAGTTGCCTAGGAGGAGAATGCTGAAGCTTAAATCCAGGTGTGAGTGTTCTCCATGTAGACTGTTCTTCTTCCAGATCTGCAGTGTTAAAGGAAGTCTATGGCCACACTATTTGAAGCATGGGGATCAAAGTGTCCCAACTGTCTGGTGCTTCAGAAGAGGTACCATATATCAGCACAGTTGTCTGCCGGAAATCTCCCAGAAAGCAGGTCCTTCTGGGAAAGTCAGATTACATAACATCCTAGAGTAAACTCAGAGAGTAGGCGATGTCTGGGAGACTTGAAGATGACAAGCCAAACAGGCGTTCGTCTCTGTTCATTCCTTGGGAGACCAAGGAAGCCACTATCCCGGATTGCCTCTGCCATGTCCTTCCAAACCTCTAGATGACCCAGCAGCTCTCAGCTAAGCCGCAAAGAGGACCAAATATGAACAGCCGGATTGTGAAATACAAGTGAACACTGCTTTAGTGTCTCTACCCAATCCTGTCAACACACACAGAGAACACAAGCAGTGGCTATAGAAGTCACAGAAGTTGACAACCCAGGCAACTGGTGGCAGGTGACATGACTGGGCATCGGTAGGCAGAAGAGATCACTTGTGTAAGGCCAAGAAAGCATCTAGGATTATGGGCCATTTGGAATCTTGGAGTTCACTTTGGTGCTGGGGTTCTGCCTAATAGGACTAAACTCCTGGAGCTACAACAGACCATGGAAAAGTGAAGGGCAATCATTGTATTTGTGCCCCCAGAGTGAAATGAATCCATCTGGTGGTTACTGATTCATGTCCCCAAGACTATACAACACGCTATAGTTATAGCATTATTATATAGTCTGCCACCAGGGAGCCATCATTTAAAAAAAAATAAAAAATAAAAAATCTTGGGGCTGGAGAGATGGCTCAGTTGTTAAGAACACTACTCCTATTGCAGAGGACCTACCCAACTTCTGTTCCTAGTCCCCATGTCAGACAGCTCCCAACTGCCTGGAACCCCAGCTCTAGGAGTTACTATGCCCTGTTCTGGTCTCTGTGGGCACCTGTACTCATGTGCACATAATCACACATAGGTACACACATGTACATACAATTAAAAACTAAAATATCTTCAAAAATCCTTAGACACTACCATAAGCAAAATAATAAACATGGATGGTTAATAAATATTTGTGCTATTTATTAACTCATCTTTGGAACTGAAATGCTCCATGAACATCATGCTAGCTCAACAAGGAGCTGCCATGAGTCACCCTGAATGTTTTAGATGCTGGATTTTCCAGTAGTTCTAAATATGGCCATTTTATTCAAATTGGGGGGGGGATCATGCTGTGTACAGTCATTTACTCAGTCTTGAAGCCAATCTTACAAGTGATACGATCAACTATACACCCTCCATTCAGCTGTGAGCATCAAGGAAACTGAATGAACATGTATTGTTGACATGGGCACAGCCATGATGAGGATACCAATGCCTCACACCCATGGGAACTGGCAAAATTCCTCCAGGTGAGGCTTGGAGGTATGGCGAAGCCTCTCTCTGTTTTCCAAGTGTTTACGAATGATTGCCCAGTGTGCACAAAAACTAGCAACTGCAGCTTCCTCCTGCTGGGTGACTGCAAATGAGACCACTCCCCTCTAAGGACCTCCTACCAAAACTAGAAGAGGCCAGCCTCCTCGTGCTGCGCACCAGGATTCACTATCCCTGAAGACCCAGGCTTGTGCCACTTTGATTTGCCACCAGGCCTGGAAGTTACCCGATAACCCCAGACACACCTTTGCTATTCACTTCATTATCTCGAGCACACGGAGTGACTCCCCTTAAGTCCTCACATCTTCTCTAGCAGGTTAACAACTGCCCAGGCCCAGCTTTTCTGTTGTACTCCATGGTTGGCATCTATCTGCCTCCACCTGTCCCATGTCCCAGCCCCGCTCCCTAACCCTGTCGATGGGGTCTGACGTCCGTCCCTCTACTGTTTCTTACTTCCCCAGCGTTACCCTTGTCAGATCAAGTGGATTCCTAACCTGCTCAACACAGCTTGCTCCTAGCTGCTCTGTGCCTTCCAGAGGCTCCTAAACGGTCTTCCCTATGCCTGTTATCTTCCTTTTTAAAAACTTTATTGAGCTTGTGAAGGTGGGTGTGAGGCGGAATGGCTACATCAAGGCCTATGTATTGAGGCCAGGGAACAACTTTTGGGGATCCTCTCCTCCCACCACGTGGTTCCCAGGGATCAAACTCAGGTAGTCAGGTTCGTCAGCAAGCACCTTTGCCCACTGAGGCAGCCTTCTCACTGACCCAAACGTGGCCTTATTCCTACTGTTTTTGTTCCAGTGCTCAGAACCACACCCCGTCTCCCTGTACATGCTAGGCAGACATTTTACCACTGAGCAGCTACATGGTATTTACATGGTACATCTCCAGCTCCTGGTATTTTTCTTAGTTTTCTGGGCCTCTCTGGGTTAATTCTTAATTTCATACTTCTCCTGCTAGTTCAGTGGAATTTGAGGAAGGACCTATGCCCTTTCCTCTACAATGAAAGCAAACTGTCCTCGAGTCTTCTGGGTTTTTTTCTATGATGGCTATGTATTATGATAGACATAAGTACTCTTTAAAGAACAAGGAAGCACGTCTCCCACTTCAGACTTGGCACTGCAGCCCAGTGGCATGCCTCCCAAAGTGTTTGTGCCTGGCACAGGCAGGGAGAGAGTCAGGCAGAGAGAATGTTGGTTCTTGACCAAGTAACTTCTCATTGAACTGTTTAGGGTTGCAATGAGAAACATTTCACAAGTCTTGGCTCATAGTTACGCCACTCTGCATAACTCTGTGTACTTTAATGCAAATGAAAACATAAACAGCCTGAATGACTGCTCTTTGGCACCAAGGACAGTTTAACTCAACATATTTAAATACTGTTGATCTTGTTTGTGTTGCTTTGTTATGACATTTCTTCACCTGGCCAATAAAAACGTGATAATTAAAAAGTCATTTTAAATTTCCAGTCTTGACCTGTACGTTTGTTGCAAACAAGTCTAGTCCCTAAGTCTAATTCTCTAACAATTCACTCTTGTACGTGAAGAGAAAACACAAACCGAGCTGTGAAGGGGTGGCTCTCAACAGGGAGGGTGGCTCTCAGCAGGGAGGGTGGCTCTCAGCAGGGAGGCACAGTGCACGGCAGAAGTTCATGACAGCTGCTCTTTCTAGCTGAAGAAGTCATCACCCACAGGCATGTGAACTAGGGCAGACATGCAGTGTGCCTCTGTTCAGACCCCTGTGAGTAAGTCTATAGGAACAGTTCAAAGGACTTAACACTGACAGCTGCCTCCTAAGCTGCAAATAGAGCCAGGGCTAACACTATTATTGTGGCTCACTTTGCTTCTCAAGCCTTGTCCCAAGGGCTGAGTGTGCAGCTCAGTGATAGAGCACTTGCCTGGCATGTCCAGGGCACTGGGTACCATGCTCAGTAGTGCTTTAGACCCTGCCACATTCACCTCTGTCAGTAGTTTCTATCAGCCCATTTGAAAAGCTGGACTGTGAAATGACAGGGTCTCCTTATTTGTAACCCTAAAACTGGATTTCATGTTTCAGTAAGTTTAATCATGTAAGATAAAATCAGGCTTCATAAGTAATGCCAACTATGAAAGTATTTGAAAACTAAGCCAAAAGCTTCAAGAATTAAAACGCAAACCTAAATTGGAAGACAGACTATAAGAGGTGATTGAAATACATGGTAACAGCATCTCCCTGAGAATCACTCCATGAGCCACACAATTTTAGAGACAGGTCGCACTGGAGCAGCTCAAAGAAGCTGGTCTGGCCCTGCCCCACTTGGTTAGGTTTCAACTCTTACACCCTTGCACCTTTCACACTGGGAAGTCATTTCCCTCACCTAGTCTCATCACAGAGGATTTAAATCTCAAATAATAAATACTGATTAAATAGTAATATATGATTCTAAAGAATGCTATATTAGTTATTTTTCTGTTGGTATGATAAAATATCATGACTAAAACAACTTAAGGGGATATATACTGTTGAATATTGTCTTAAGGTGTGTTACTTTTGTTTATGTTGCATTTAACTCTGTAAAACTGTGTTATTTTGCCTGTCTAAAACACCTGATAGTCTAATAAAGAGTTAAATGGCCAATGGTGAGGCAGGAGAAAGAACAGGCTAGCTGGCAGGGAGAGAGAATAGGAGAAATCTGGGAGAAGAGAAAGAAAAAAGTAGTCAGAGAAGGAGAACTCAGGGGCCAGCCACCCAGCTACACAACCAGCAATGGAGTAAGAAAGGATGGTATACAAAAATAGAGAAAGGTAAAAGCCCAGAGGCAAAACGGTAGATGGGATAATTTAAGAAAAGCTGGCAAGAAACAAGCCAAGCTAAGGCCGGGCATTTATAATTAAGAATAAACCTCCAAAAGTGATTTATTTGGGAGCTGGGCAGCAGGCCCCCCAAGAGAGTAAAAACCCCCAACAACAGATAAGAGTTTGAATGGTGGGGGAAGCAGGGAAGCAAGCAGGAAAAGCATAGCTGTGTGAGTAGGAAGCCAGTTAGTCACATTTTTATCCTCACACAGAAAACAGAGAGAGAGAACAAGAAGTGGGACAAAGCTATAAGTCCTCAAAGCTCCCCATGCCATGATGTACTTCCTCCTGCAAGGCTCCACCTCCAAAAGGTTCTATAACCTCCCCAAACAATGCTACAAACCAAGGACCAAGTGTTTAGATACATCAACTTATGGAAGATATTTCTCATTCAAACCTCTACACTATCTTTGATGATTCTTCCAGTACTTATATTTTTCTCTTCCCTGAGAAAGACTGCCATTAAACAATTTGCATAGTTCATGTTTGAGTACCAAGCTATGTCTTACAAATCCAAAATACAACATGCATTTTATATTTGCAGACAGGAAAAAAAACAGCCTGTATCCATAAAAGTCCTTTTCCATTTCCAGACTTAATTTCTGTAACTCTGAATAATTATTTCCAGTATTTTACATATTCAAAGGCCATGATTATTTACTGGTGTTCACTCATAACCCAATGCTGTACTGCCCCTATCTCCCATCACTTGACTATGTACTTGGAGTTTGAGTCTCTCTACAATATGGAACTTTCCTTGTGGGACAAATTTCCTTTATACCACTATAACATGAACATAATATTATCACCAAGATGACATTCTCTCCCAGGAGTGATAAGCTCATTCCCATCTTTACTCGTTTATCCACAATGATCCCCAAAAGAGAATGTCCTCTTCTCGTCACTGTTGTAAATCTTACCTACTATCATAACCACTCAGAACATGCCCACGTGATTATGTAATTGTTTAATACTAATTTATGTAATAAAAGGGAAATGAAGGCTTTGCCCCATGGGTCCCAAACTATTAGCTACATTAAAAAGTCTAAAAGTTTATATATATACATATATGTGCATATATATATATCACAGCTATAAATATATATATCACAGCTATAAGAAAATGCCTCAAATATTTGAACACAGAATGAAGTCTAAAATTGATAAAAGATTTTATACAGAACTGATGACTAGGGTACATGAAAACCAGCTTTCCTCCATTATAAATATTGAACAATCTGAAAATACGACATAAATCAAACTCCTATCCACGAAACTATATGTAATGAAGCCTTTCTTTGTTCTCTCTAAATGCTTGAGTACACTTGAAGGCTGTTTATGCTCAGTGAAAGTAAACTATTACCCAAACATGTCTCCACTAGGGAGTTTCCATGCTTCTTATCAGTGTTAGTGCTACAGCCTACAGGAGGCATTTAAACTGCCAAGGACTTTATTCAGCAAATTCATAAAAAAAAAAAAAAAAAACTAAGGTAATATTGGTGTGTAAAACAAGACAGGATTTCTTATTAAGGAACATATGCTCAAATAAGTGTTAATAGAGTAATATAAAAGGGAGATTAAATAATAAAGGACAGAGTGTTATGAAGTCTGTAAACCAAAAGCTCTTAGCAGCAGATCATAAATCCCTTTCTGCATCTCACACTCTTAACACATCTGTTACAAGATTTATTCCCATTAAGAAGTGGTGTTGAGCTCATTAACAAGCTCTTTTTACAATGGTGCATGAAACACCAACTTTAGAATAATCTACACTGCAAGACGGACACTTTTGCAGAGTATACAGACATACTTTTAATCTTAAGCATCTCACAAAAGAATCATTCCTAAACTTAACAGTGACTTCAGAGTATATCAGCTTGAAGGGAAAGGCATGAAACATAAACGACAAACTATGTACATTGGCTAAAAGAACTACCACATAAGTTATGTACTAAGGTTATGTATGGTTATTACGCCTCTTTCAAAAGTAGCAACTTTCAGACGGTATATCCTGGAAGTTTGTTTATTACTAATTCGCAGATATCTCTGCACTGTTTGGAGATATTCAGTGAACCGAGGTCATCTTCCTCTTCTTGGAAGTCAGCTTCTGCACTGTTGTCTAAGCCCTTGAGTTCTAGCTCAGACAAATTTGATGGCTCGTAAGAACTCACTTGAGATGTCCTTGGTGACTGGCTTTTCTCAGAGGACTTGCGACCAGCTCCTACTTTAAGTTTAGTGGAGCTGTCCCAACCTGTCCTCATGACCTTTGATCTGCCTGTACTCAGTGGTTCTGCCCGGGTTTCCTTTTCATTTGTCCACTGTGATGAAAAGTCACTGGTGGAGCTGCTGGAGGCTTCCTCCAGACTCCCATGGGCAGTCTTCAACACATACGACCTTTTATGTGAGCATACTGGTGAGCCAGCCGAGAAGGGAGGGCTGAGCACAGGACTCACTTCACTACTGTTTTTCCTTGTGGACAGCCTTGCCTCGCTTGCCTTGCTCGTCTGTGAACCGTGTTGGGCATTTTCTGCCCCTGTGCTGGAGTCGGGAGCCAGACTTCTGCTGTCATCCTCAGTCATGCAGAAGTCTTCCGAATAGCAAGGGCTGGCCAACTCCTCCTGGCGCTGTAGCTCCGAGATGCTCTCACAGGAACTCTTTGTACTAGGTGGTCTGTTTGCACTTGTATCTGCAGTCACAATGTCTGTGACTTCGACTTGTCTACCATCTTTCCCCTCATCAACAGGCTTGTCAACAGCAGGATCCTGTCGGGAAAGCGCTGGGCTTTGGACTTTCATTTTCGATGTTCCTCCCAGAATATTTGAATGAGGACATCTTTCTGAAATAATGGAATCTGCAGGACACACACCTGCCTCCAACCAAGTGTCACTGGTTCTGTTTTCACCCTGCTCAACTGTGTCTTTTTTAATAGCATGGCTCCAATTCATTTTTTTAGTTGTACTTAACTCATCAAAACACGCACTGATTTGCCTTGAAGTATCACTACCCTCAGCAAAAGACCCATTTGAGTCTGAAGACTTATCCTTGGGCAGCTGTGGTGGCATCTGACTTTGTGCTGCCAAGCTTGGTACTTTCCCTTTCCATGACGGCCCTCGGACTTTGGGCTCCACTGCTTTGATTTGCGATTTTCTATACTGTTCTCTCTTTTCATGTACAACCAGCATGTCGGGGTTTGTTTGCTTTAAACGCAGTCTTAGTGTATTTGTTAAGCCATAAAGCAGCTTACCCTTTGTAACCCTTGGTGGAGGGCTACCACTGATCTTCTCTGAATGTTTACCTTTAGGGTTCTTTTTAGACTGAAGACTCACGAGCTTTTCATGTTCTCGCACAGAAAGTTTGTTGCTCTTTGGTTCAGACCGAGATGCGCTCTTTGATTCTGACCGAGATGTGGACTTGACAGAAGGTTCTGGCCCCTTATGTTCACTTCCGTACAACCAGGCTAAGTGGGGGTGAACCTGAGTGGGACTTGCCACGGGCTGGTTGCACAGCAAGGACAGTTCAATCAACAAAGCATTCAGCAGCGGCAGCTGTCTTATTGCATTGGCTGTACTTTGTTCAGTCTGAGGGGGACATGTAACCTCATTAACTGAGCCTGGACCCTTCATCTGTGGAGGATTTAGAAGCACTGGAGGGCTCTCCTCCATTGCAGATCTTGTATGTTTCACCAGATGTATGGGAGGACCTACACGTTTTGTTTCAGGAAAAATACCATCCAGGTCCTCAGGTCCATTTCTCTGAGGCTCAATAGTGATTTCAACCCTGGCAGAAGATGTCTTTTCCTGGGCCAGGTGAGTGTAATACAGAGGAGGAGGGCAAAAGGTGTTGGATTCAAAGTCTAGCTCCGTGACCTCCGGGCTGAGAGGGCTGACAGACCTCCCACTGGGAGCAGGTGAACAAGGGGCAGAAGCCATGTCCCCAGAGCTGGCCTTACTGTGTAAGACTGCTTCTTCCCAGGTCTTCTGGATAGCTGAGGGGTCTGAATCCCCTGCAGACCAGCTGTTAGTATCCTTGGCGCATGGCTCTGAGGCCTCCAAGCAGCGTACATTGGAGGCACACTGAAGGCATCTGGCAGCGGCTTCTTTGGTGCATGGCTTCGGGGCGTCCTGGGTACGTGGCTCCCACACCTCCAGGGCCTCGGAACCCATGATACTAGCAGGGCTCAGTGGGCCCGGCAGCTCCTGAGCCCCAGGGGGAAAGCGTCCCAGGTCGGTTAGGCGGCAGAAGACAGCCAATTCCCCGACGGGCTCGGCCGCCGGGCCCCGCAGGGTGAATTTACCCCGTCGGCCCTGGGGGGAGGCGACCAGCAGGATGTCGCAAGCCCCCAACAGGCACGGTGCAGACGCTGGGCCCTGGGGAAGCTGCAGCAGTACTGCGCGCAGGCGCGGGCGATGCAGGGCGGCGGGGCGCAGGCGTAGTAGGCAGGCCTTGCCGCGCCCGAAGTCGATGGTGCCGCTCTGGGGCTCCTGGCCAGAAGCGGCAGGCGGGAGGACGAGCAGCGGCGGGAAGTCCAGCAGGCGGAACGCCACAGCGGGTCTCCCGGCGCACGGTGACAGCCCGACCTCCAGCCGCACCCAGTCCACCAGCAGTTCCAGCGAGAAGAGCCGCCCGGCTGCCATGGGCGCCATCGCCGTTGCCCTGGGCGACGCCACCAGCCCGCCTCGCCAGCCGGAAGCAGGAGCCAGAGTCGCCTAGACAACCGCGGCTTTGAAGCTCTCTCGCGAGATTTGGTTGCCTGCCCCTGGGATGCTCCGGAGTGAGCTCCTTTGCCTTCTTTTGGGCTTTAGTTGGGGGCAATTGGCGAGATGCTAAGAGATTAGGTGTGGCAAAACGGTATTTCTTAAATTTTATATTTTGTCGCTGCAGATCCCACGCCATTAGGGATCATATATTGGAAATAAACGGACCATTCTGCCCATCCCAAGCCTCAGAGCCTGCTGGCCTGTTGCTGCGCTCCCAAAGAAGGCTCTGACCTGTCAGAGGCAGTGCTGTATTCTCTGTCACTCCTCTGTCTCTCCTTCGTCCTACCACACAGTGATCGCCAGCAGGTCACATTTCCCTCACAGGACTTCTGCCTTCTTGAAGCCTTCTCAGGAGGTTTGACCTCAGCCTCCACCACGACAACCTTGCAGGTGTAGAAAGACTACTCATGTATCCAGAACAACACACTCTAACACTGGTCAAAGTCCTCATAATATATTGGAAATAAACGGACCATTCTGCCCATCCCAAGGACTATTCTATATATTAGAATATAGAATCCCTTGTGCTGTGGAATGTTATTTTAACTATGTAAATATTCTGCCCATGTCAAGGACTTCTGACCACCCTGGCTTGTCTTCACAAAGAGTCTGCCGTGATAGTTTATCCAGAAAGCTCTATGGATGGCGTGGTGGTTTGAAAGAAAATGACCCCCAAAGGGAGTGTCACTATTGGGAGGTGTGGCCTTGTTGAAGGAAGTGTCACTGAGTGGGTGGGCTTTGAGGTCTTTTTCTCAAGCTTCCCTCGGTGTAACAATCAGTTGATTTCCTGTTGCCTGCAAGATGTAGCTCTCTCAGCTCCAGCACCCCATCTGCTTGCACACTGCTATGCTCCCCTTCATGATCTTAATGGACTGAACCTCTAAAATTGTATGCAAGCCCCCCTCAAATGTTTCCTTTATAAGAGTTGCCATGGTCATGGTGTCTCTTCACAGCAATAAAAACCCAAACTAAGACCAATGGGAACCCACTAACTGCAGAACTGACTGTACAATACAGGGTACTGACGAGGGAGCAGGAGGGAAAGGCATCATGAAATGTCTTAAGGCGCTGGAAATTACAGGGTCTGGGCTGGGGATGAAGCTTGGTGGTAGAGGGCTTGCCTCACAGACACTAAGCCCTGCATGCAGTCCTCAGGACCACCACCACAAGAGGGGAGGAAGTTACTGGTTCAGTTAGTAAGGCAAATGATGTTAGTATGTATGTCTGGGAGGAGTGGTTAGAGAAAGTAACGTTGGCTGTTGGAATCCTGTAGTGTACAGGCTGCACACGAAGTTAGTGCAGCCTATTTTGTGATATTGCAACTCAGTCTGAGTTCACAAGCTCCACAGCTTCCAGGCTGTCTCATGGATTCCCAACCTGTGTCTCACATATTATGCAGATTCTGAGTCACCCTTTCTGTTGACCTGATCAAAGACAAAGTCCACAAAGACACTTTTTTTTTTCTACTCACGTTGTGGGTGATTCTGGGGCAGACAGCCCTTGTGCTGTGGAATGTTATTTTAACTATGTAAAGATTGTAACATTTGTTTATGCTGTGGAATATTACTTGACTGTGTAAAGATGTGTTCCTTTGGTTTATGCTGAATTTGTTTAACGATGTAAGGATGTGTGTTTAATTATGTAGAGATGTTTCACCTTGCCTGCCTAAGGCACCTGGTTGGTATAATAAAAAGCTGAATGGCTAATAGCTAGGCAGGAGAAGGACAGGTGGGGTTGGCAGGCAGAGACAATAAATAGGAGAGAAAAGAACAAGAAGAAAGAAGAAGGAGAAGAGAATGAGAGAGAAAGAGAGGGACAAGTCCAGGACAAGAAGCCAGGCAGCTGCCAACTATCAGACACAAAAAACAGTGAAAATAAGATATATAGAAGGAAAGAAAGTAAAAAGCCCCGAGGCAAAGGGTATATCAAGATAAATAGGTTAATTTAAATTAAAAGAGCAAGACAGAAATGAACCTAAGCTAGGCTGAGCATTCAAAACTAACAATAAATCTCCAAGTCATGATTTGGGAGCTGGTTGGTGGCCCCAAAGAAAAAGCCTGTTGCACCCTGTGCTTATCACCCTCAGGCCACTGGCTCATTGTCAGTGACCACAATGATAAGAGAAGTTTGTAAGGAGCAGCATGGTATCGTTGTCACATAGATAGAGTAGAAAAATAGCCATGCAATCATACAGTCATTGCTCCCTCAGTTACATTCTCAGGGCGAAGTGGAAAGGAGGAAGCAGGTGAGCATCAAGCTGTAAAGCATCAGTGTCCACAGGCACTGCACTGTGGCAGGAGATGCAGGTGCTTACCAGATTCTTTGCTTAGTCCTCTTGACAACCACACCAATTGCTGATCGACTCGGGAGAACACTAACTCACCCCACCTGGAGGGGGTAAGAGCATAGTTAAGTCTACATGGCAGCAAGTGCTCAAGCTGCAATAGGGTTCTTCCCATCTTTAAAAAGGTAGCTAAATGTAGAAAAGTAGCAGCATCTGATTAAAAAACATGGTTCAGGCCACAAAGAAACCATTAGAAAACACCCAGAGGAAGCAATGAGGCAAATGCAGGGCACAGTTTATTCTATGAGAAAATCAGCCTGATGTTTGTTTGTCTTTGAGACAGCGGGGTCTCCTTTGCCACCCAGGTTTGAGTCGTGATCCACCCTTCTCAGCCTCCTGTACCAGGATCACAGGCGTCAGCCACCATACCCAGCTTGACCCCTTTCCAAAGGAAAATCAAGAGCATAGCCAAGGGCGGGGGCACAGCGTAATGCCCCAAGCTTGGTGTTAATAAGAGACACATCTGTGAAGTATAGCTTACCACCTTCCTTGTGCTTTTGCTTAAACACCCCATCTTTAAAAAAAGATGTTTAAGATAATGGGATAGTTGAGTAAGAATCTAGTATCAGATGACGACACGAAAGAATTATTAAGGTTAAGTGTATAAGTTTATCTAAGAAGACATTCTCAGACATAAGAGACAAAAGAGGAAGAAGTTGCAAGAAAAGGATAGCTTGAAATTTTTCTTGAGGCAGGGTCTCTTGAAGCCTAGGCCAGCCCCAAGTGATGACCTTGAATTCTCATCCTCCTGCCTCCACTTCCCAAGTGGGAATACAGGCATGCACCACCAGCATACTCTGCTTAGAACTTGCTTCACAATGCTTTAGGATGGAAACAAAATGGCAGAAAGAATGCAAATGTGATAATATCCTTTAAATTTTTTATTTTAAGAGGAATGATCTAACTTTTGTTGTAGGGCAGGGTCTAGGCAGCCTAGGCAGGCTCTGAGCTGGCTGAGGCTGAGCTTCAAATCCTGATCTTCCAGCTTCTACCTCTGGAGTGGTAAGGATTATATTACAGGTTTGTGTGCCTCCACAACCCCATTTCAGGTGATGTTGGGAATGGAACCGGGGCCTCTAGTATGCTAGGAATGCTCTACCCACTGAGTTACATCCTTAGCCAGTCTTCATTGTTGTATCTGTGAAGAAGCATGTGGAAGTTCATGGTGTAATTATCTTTATTATTATGGGGGCAAGGTGATGACTTGTGTGTCTGTGTGCACACACATCTGTTCACCACACGTGTCCGGAGGTCAGAGAACAACTTTTGGGAGTCTTCTACCTTGTTGAGGTGGGGTCTTCTCTTGTTGATTCTACGGTACCACAGACTCCAGGCTACCTCTCCTGTAGGCTTCCAGGGGGTTCTGTCTCCATTTTCTATCTTACGACTTAAAGAGTGGGATTCACAGATAGCCCACTGCCTGTCTCTCTGTCTTTACCATCTTGCTGGTCCCCATGATGTTGCTTTCTGTACTTGTGTAAGTGCTTGACTATTTGCATGAAACAATAGTATTTTGTGTTTCACAAGGTTTCTGCCATGAATGACTGAGCATCACATACTGGAGGCCAGCGCTGTCAAAACCTGCCAGGGCCTTTGATGGTTATAATGGTCTGTTGCTCTGGAAAACTGCTTATTTTTTTTCTATTCTTTGTGTGTGTGTGTGTGTGTGTGTGTGTGTGTGTGTGTGTGTGTGTGTGTGTGTGTGTTTGTGTGTGTGTGTGTGAAGACCCTCACTTGGTAATAAATTACAGATTAGTGAAAGCAGAGGAGAAAGGGACACCACCAACACAGAGAAAAGACAAAGATGGCTTGGGTGCTCATTTGATGAAAGGGATTAGTTTACTTTTATTTTTTTATTTATTTGGTTTTTGTGTGTGAGTGTTCTCCTTGCATGTATGTCTCTGCATAAACTGCATGCCTGGTGCCCACAGAGGTCAGAAGAGGGCATCTGACTCCCTTGAACTGGAGTTGCAGATGGCTGTGAGCCTCAGGAATCAAACCCTGGGACCTCTGCAAGAGCAACAAGTGCTCTTACCCGCTGAGCTATCCTCTCCTCAGCCCCTAAAGTCCCTGATTGGGAGACATTCCTGCCCTTGTATTCTCATAGGCTGGTACTTTAGAAAACCACAATCTGGCATAGCCCCCTCCCAAACTGCCCATCCCATTGGGTGGCAGGCTCTCATCTTGATGCTATGTAGTGTCATATACTCCAGACTATCTTAAGACCAATGCCCTATTCGTGAATATTCAGGGGCTTGAGAACACCCCTTTTCCTCAGTATGGCCCAAAACTTGCCAACCACTCTCAAGTGTTGTGAGACAAGCAGGAATCGGCGAGGGGGGGAGGGGTGTAGTGTCTCCTGCTCACCGGGGACTCTTTGATTAGCTGTGAGTACACCCCGTACTGAAGGTGGACTGTAAAGACTTGCTTCCTCCAGTCAGAGGAAAACTTGGCATGCCGGCCCCCACCTTCTACTCTCTTTTGAGATGAGATATTCACTGCTTCGTGTGCAGGCTAGCTGGCCTTCAAGCTTCCAGAGCTTCTCCTGTCTCCCAGGAAGGGTGTGCGAATATTACCT